GATCTGTCAAATAAAAGCGCTGCCAGTCCTCTTGCGATGTGGGATCTGATTGTCTGGTAAGCTGCTGCATGACTTATAAGGTGTGAAGAGATTTCATTTAATTCCTGTTGTTCTGCAGTGCTATGCCAAATTGCGCTAGTATGCACCGCATACTACCACATTATGAGGGACTGACTTATCTTTCAAATGGGACCCTCCAGTGCTGCAATGTCACTGTTCCTGGCACTTCCATCTTCATCCAGTCTTCCTTCCAGGTTCGTGCTCTCCAGCCGTTTAAATGACCAGGCTGTGGCGATGTGTGCACAGGAGTAACTATCATGGTATGGTGTTCTCTGTTCACTGCTATAAGCAATCATTTTCTACAGATGGCATCAATTCATGTGCCCTTGTGCACTATTGTGATAGCTGTGGCTACAATTATCACATGGAACAGGTCTGCGGTGATTGGCCCCTGCACCATGTGATCACGGTGACCAATCACAGAGATCACAATGAGTGGCTATAAATGAAAGCAATTGTGTATTACTGACGTGATCACCGTGATTGGTTACAGTGATCACATGGTCCCGGGACCAGCCTGGTACAACGATCTGTCTCCACCAGACACAGATCACACCACTGCATGGCGCTTAGGGAGTGCACAAAGAGCTGTCAGAAGACATCACATGACGTCCACTGAGGATTACAAAAGCAGTTAAAAAAAACCCCACTTGCCTCAGGAGTGCATTTTGAGTTTATTCATATTGAGGATATAAATATAAAAAAAAAAAAAAAAAAAAAAATACACTTCGTCATATATGCTCATTTATCTGAAATATATTATGGATATAGGAGGAGAGGAAAGTATTCGGTCCATTTTTTTCTAAACTAACAAAGCTTTATTTTCAAAGACAAAAATAGATTGTAAATTTACACAAAGACTATAAACAAAATCTCTCATACTGTTTTGGCACATCTTTGAGTGATTTTAAAGAAGAAATTGTGTTTTTCACATGTAACTCAATTGTGCTTAAGAAAAGCTCTTCCCTTTGAAATAAAAGGGAGAGGTTCTTAATAATTTCTAGGTAGCCAAGCAGAAAATGGAGTATGTGAACAAATCCGTTTTTTTTCAACAAACGTGCAACTGCATTTGCACTGTCTTTTTCTGCAGCAACACTTTCAAGGTGGACTGTCACACATTTCCAGTCTTTGACAAGGGCAGAGAGAGCACCAACATTGCTTGACACTCATCTTACTTTATGCGAGTACTGAAATTTCTGGATTTTTTTCATGAAAACATTTAGCTACCTGCTACAGCTGTCACATTCTCTTGGGTGCATTCTGGTAAAATTGGTACAGCTTCTTTAAAACAGTGTAGAGGTCATCAATGCATTTTCCCTCTTTTGCAGAGCTTAATCCACCTAAATTTAATCTGTGCGCAACACAGTGAATGCCAATTACATGGCTGAGATTTTGACATACTTTCTGTACCAATCCATTTTCAGCTCCAATCATGCTTGCAGCACCATCAGTACCAATTCCAATCAGCTTGCTTGAAGAAAGCCAGTCTAAAAGACTGTGTCTTGAGGTCTTTAGTGATGGTTTTTAAGTACCCATCTGCAGCAGCCATTTCAAGAGGTAGGACTGATAGAAATACATAATTGATCCTATTGTTCTTGACATATCTGATGTACAATATTAACTATTCTATTCCTCCTCTGTCAGTCAATCCATCTAGCATCAAACTAACATATTTGCCTCCTTTAGCTCGCAGATTAGTTCTTTCTGGATTACAGTTGCAATATTTGAGATTAATTCCTTGTATCATTTGCATACTCCTCTCTCACAGCAACCCCTAGTTTCCCTGTCAGCTCTAACAAACCTTCAAAGTCTGTATATGGGTTGTTTATTTGCAAAGGCCACATTAAATAAAACTTTCATGTGCTTGAACATCCCATTATCCATTTTCTTAATGCTTGCAGCCAATGGCATCGCTTCTGGAGCCAACAGGGCATGTTTGGCCTTTACACATTTTTCGTGCTGGAGAGACTTTTCATATTTTTTGAAGGTCTCCAGTTTAAATGGTCCTTTCACAATCTTAGATGTGTGGCCAGCAATGCCAGGGAAAGAGGCACAAATCTCACATATGGCTATACCTGTGTTAAGGTCATATTTCAGCCATGCGAATTCCTTGCTTAACCTCCCTAGCAGTCTGATTATGTCCATATTTCTGTGCTCAAAGCGGTACATTTTTTTGCATGTATTTTTTTTTTATTGTAGGCCTGTAATTTTTAGGAATAACTCACTGAAATCTGTCCGAACAAGAGTCTAGTAAACATCCCAGGTAGGATAAAACTTGAACCACGAAATCATAGCTTATAATTTAATAAATAATCATAAAAAATAATAATATAATAAATTTAATTCAATAATATAATCAAACCAAAAACACTGAAATTTTAAATATAGAGCCCAGTTCGCACATCACTGAGCAAAGTCGCAAAATTGTTTTCAGTGTCTGATGACGAATTTCCCCACAAATCATTATCACTCAATTCTACAAGTGGTTCTGATTTACTAATCGCTGATCTCTAGCTGGTCTAAAACCGCTTTTAACCTAAAGGGACGCTTTTTGGATGCCATGGACTTTTCTAAGTTTTCAGGCAGAAAGAACAGTCAAAATGCAGATAGGGCACAGGACAAAGCACTAGGGACAAAATGTATGTGAAATGGTTTGAAACAGTAATGTTATACTATGTGATTTTAGTGAATGTCACTTTTTGTCATTTTCAAATTTCCCGCCGTTCTGTCCCTGTACGTCCCGACGCTCGCAGGGGATGGAACCCAGATGACAGATGCCAGCATCCGCCAGATTACATTGCCGGGGACACTGCAGGAGGGACATCGCGGGAGCGCAGGACAAGGTAAGTGATCGAGGGATCCTGGAGCAGTGCCGCATGGTAAGCCCGAGTGTAGCTCAGGGTTACCGCTTTTGGTACTGAAACTTTACCCCGAGCTACACTTGGGAATACCGCCAGGGAGGTTAAACTTCCTTCTTCCATCGTTTTGAGGATTACTTGTTGAAGGTGACTCCTCTGCTGGTTGTTCTTCTCTCATGCAGTTTGATTCTGCAGAAGCATGTTGCACTACACTTTCCAAACAAGAAATCTTTGCAAAGAAATTTGTCATCTGCAGTTACTTTGCATCTTCTGGTGTCACAGTTTTTGCGGAACGTTTTTTTTTTTTTTTTTTAAATTGCCAAACAAAGACGTTTGTTTTTTAATGGCATGGTCTCCAAAAAATGCTGTTTTACATTTTTATATATTTTTTTCTTTAAAAGCATAGCACCCCTTCTCTTACGTAGTCCTGATGTCTATTTTTACAGATGCACTACACAGGTTTACACACAATTATGCCTCTCAGCTTTTGCCTATTAACTGGCAATTGCGTGATCATGCAACACTGTATGCAAATTAAATGTATGTCTTTTTTTTTCTTATAAAAAAAACAGATTTATTTTGGTGGCATTTAACCACCACAGTTTATGTGCTATAAATGAAAAAGACTGAAAATTTTGAAAAATAAACAATTTTTACTTTTTGCTATAAAACATCAAATAACAAAAAAAAATGTTTTTTCATAAATTATGCCAAAATGTATTCTGCCACATCTCTTTGGTAAGAGAAAAAAAAAATCCCAATAAAAGTATATTAAATCGGTTTGTGTGAAAGTTATAGAGTCTACAAAATATGATATATATAATGGAAATGTAATGGACTGCGATAGTGTAATGGACTGCGATAGTGTGGCGGGCAACCTGACACTGAGTGGGAACTAACTGCCACTGGCATCTCCAGTGCCACTAATAGATCAAGGATAATATTATGCACTGTCACTGTATTAAGACATTGGGTAGGAAAGGGTTAGCATTTGGGGAGATCAAAGGGTTAACTGTGTGCCTAGTAATGTGTAAAGTGTTTACAGTGTGGTGCTTTTACTAAGGGATGTGATGGTTTTTATATCCTGGGAGACAAAAAATGGCACATCCCTGCTGTTTATCAACCCAAAGTTCTCTCCTGTAATTCATTCCCCAGATAGGCAGATCCTGGCCATAAATTATTTGCTGGGACCCACTGATTGGCATGTGTTGGAGCTGAAAGTGCCAGATCGCTGATTGCTCGCAGCAGGGCTAAATTTAAAACAAAAAAACAAAAACAATCCTGCCTGGGTGATATAATTAGTGCATCCCTTTGAGAGGAATGGCAGATACAGCATTTCCAACTCCCAGCCACAAATCAAATGCAGTGGAAGGAATGTGGACCGTCCCCAGAAAGACACAGGCCCAAGGCAGAAAGGCAGCATCACAGCCTGTGTCACCTGGCCACCATATGCATCGATAGGCAGAGGCTCACTAGGGAGAGGCAGTGCAGTAAGGTGAGGGTGATGGGATATTCAGTGACAATGCAACTCATTTCACCCTGGGCTGTGTGGCTGTGGCAGAACAGGGAGAAACTAAAGACAATGCACCTGTGTTTCCCTGTTTTGTGGTGGAGAGAGGGGTGTGAAATAGGAACAGCAATTAGATTCAGCTGCTCCAAATGTACTTACCGCCAATAATGAAAGGGCTCCTTCAACCTCAACCCAACTGTCACATTGGGAAGGGGTTGTCTTAGGTGGGCGAGCAATGAACAGTCGACGGAATCTGTCCACACCATCAGTCACAGCCCCACCCACCAGAGAAGGGAGCAGATTCCCATGTAAGCCTTGTAAGGGAATTGCCCACAACCAAGAGAGCGAACAATGCACCTTGCTTCAGTAGTTGACAAAGCCATGGCGGCCTCAATTACCGGCTTTATCCGTTCACCCGCGAGGGGCACATGGGGAGGCTGAATCCACACAGGACCACTGCCGCAGTGTGGCCCAGGAGCCAAAATGCTAATTCTAGTCACCATGGCAAGCTGGGCTTTGTCAGTCTCTGAGTTAATGAATCTGCAAAAAAGAAAATGTTACTTAGTCAATACCTGGTAATTGATATCCATAGCAGCGTCCAGCAAAACACGGACAACTGCCCGATGCCCATTACGAGCAGCCAGATGGAGAGGTGTGTGCTTGCGCGTGTGGCAGCTCAACAAATTAGGATGTGCATTGAGAAGAAGTTTCACTACTTCTAAGCGTCCATACAGAGCTGCTAAGTCAAGCGGAGTTTCCATCTTGTTGTTGCGCATTGTAGGGTCTGTCAGCTCTTCCAACAAAACACGAACCACTTCAGTGTGCCCATACTGGGCTGCACAGTGCAGAGCCGTTTCATTATCATTGTTCTGTGGAACAGAAAAGGTAGTATATGTTCTTTAAGTACAGCAAAATTGTGCACAACAAAACATTTAAAGTTGTTTAGAATACCACCACCTGCTTACTATATAAAAGTAACTTTCACCCAGTATAGAGGAACACCAGGAATATTATACAATGCAGAAATTCTTTAGAGAAGTTTCTTTAGATCATGCAAAGCATTAATTAGACGGGGGTATCAGCATTTTAACTGTCTACAGTCATAATAGTTCTCTGTACTGTCTACCCTCACCGAAAGAAAGGATTTTTACCAAATGAGTGCATACATTTGCACAAGATATTTCTAAAATGAAAATAAGTCTTTCAAGTGACAAAAATAAGCAGGTCCAATTAAAGGAAAAGAGAACACAGAATGTCATGTACATATATCATGATTTCTTATCTTTGGAGGTCTCACTGTGAAATAGGTGACCGCATGCAGAAATTAAAAGGAAAAATCACCGAGGGCTACACTTCCCCACAGATACTTCAGGTGGTCAGCTCTTTCATGTATTTTCCAATTACTCTTGCAGATTTCATAGTAAAAAAGGGACGCCTTGCTGGACAGTAAGGTCAGCCAGTAAACGTGCCAAAACTGGCATGCAGACTTTGCTCCTAGAGTTCTCAAGCTGCTGTAAAAGCCTTTTATAACCAGTCTAATGTAAACTGATGCTCTAAAGGCCTGACTTCAGGATGCACTAAAATGAACCCAAGCAATGATGTCAAGTATCATTAATGGTGTAATCTTACAACTACTTCTATAGCTTTTCTGAATTAGGTATATAACACTATGCCACTATGCATTTTACCAAGGAAAAACAAACCCCTACAATCTAGGTCAGCGATATAATATGCCCCTTTCTGCTAATGTTCAGATTGTTTGCTCAAATGCGCTTGTTAAACTTCCAGCTTTACTGTATCAGTCACGTTTCTACCATTAGAAACATTGCATCCCCGGGCAGACCTGTAACACTCTGGAAGGTGAAACTCCCAGAGCAGTAAACAATGCCAACTATAATCTGACCTCAAGTTCTGTGCAGGTGAGACGAGGGGGGGGGGGTGGGGATATTTGAATGTGTCTACAAACTGAACATTACATATTTCTAAGGGTTTGTGTGGGGGAGGGATAAAAATAATGGCAAGCGTCAGACTGAGCTGGAAAAGCATTTTATTATTAAAGCAAGTTGGTCTAAATGCTGATCAGCCAAAGGAAGTCATGCATTTTATTAACAGATTTCCTTTGACTGGCTGAAGTGCAAATTACATCACAATTTCTATCTCAGCCAATAAGAAGCACCCTTGTATTCGTTCATAAAAATACAAGGCTTCCCATATATGGCTGAATAGTGGGACATAGGGAATACTTTGATCTCTCTTACACACATTCTAGTATGCATTTAACATGAAAAACATTAATTGGAGAAAAAAACAACATATTACAGTTTTTCCCATGATGAAGAAATTGACCATGAAGCATTTTTCACTATGGGTACAGCCCTGGTAGCATTTGAAAAATGTTACAAGGGTCTGTATTGTCAGCAGCAGTCAATCAAATTGATCCTGTCATTTTAAAACCTGCAAGGGGAAAAAGTAAAGTTGGAACACATGTAGTTCTTCTTTCAAAGCCTTTGGCAGGTAAGGACAATTGCTAGCTAGCCAAAAAACATGGAATATTTTCTCCATATTAGATTCTTCCAAGGTTAATGCAAAGAATTAGGCATTGCATCCTTGTTAACTTTAAAGGGTTAGCTTACCTTAAAAAAAAAAAAAAAAAACGTTTTTTTTTCTTGGTGCAATGACATACAGTTGTGACCAAAATTATTCAACCCCCACTGAAATTGAGTGTTTTGGCCAGTTTGACATTGCTTTTGATCATTCAGTCATCTTGCTTTACAATTTACATTAAAGAGGCACTTGTAGGTCAGACAAATATAACATAACAGTTATAATGAAATAACCACAAATGTCTTTTCTGTGCTCACAGCATTATCAGTTTTATTCAACCCCCAAGTGACATTCAATCTTAGTACTTAGTACAGCATCCTTTTACAGTTATAACAGCTTTTAAACGTGAAGCATAGCTTGACACAAGTGTCTTGCAGCGATCTACGGGTATCTTCGCCCATTCTTCATGGGCAAAGGCCTCCAGTTCAGTCACATTCTTAGGCTTGCGCACTGCAACTGCTTTCTTTAAGTCCCACCAGAGGTTCTCAATCGGATTTAAGTCTGGTGACTGCGATGGCCACTCCAAAATGTTCCAGCCTTTCCTCTGCAACCATGCTCTAGTGGACTTGGAGGTATGCTTGGGATCATTGTCCTGTTGAAAGGTCCAACGTCTCCCAAGCCTCAGGTGTGTGACGGACTGCATCACGTTTCCATCCAATATCTCCTGGTACTGAAGAGAATTCATGGTACCTTGCACACGCTGAAGCTTCCCTGTACCTGCAGAAGCAAAACAGCCCCAAAGCATGATTGACCCTCCACCATGCTTCACAGTAGGCAAGGTGTTCTTTTCATCATAGGCCTTGTTCTTCCTCCTCCAAACATAGCGTTGATCCATGGGCCCAAACAGTTCTAATTTTGTTTCATCAGTCCACAGAACACTATCCCCCACAACTTTTGTGGTTTGTCCACATGGCTTTTGGCATACTGCAGTCGACTCTTCTTATTCTTTGGAGACAGCAAGGGGGTACGCCTGGGAGTTCTGGCACGGAGGCCTTCATTACGCAGTGTGCGTCTTATTGTCTGGGCTGAAACTTCTGTACCCACATCTGACAAATCTTTTCTCAGTTCCTCAGCAGTCACACGGGGACTTCTCTCCACTCTACGCTTCAGGTAGCGCACAGCAGTCGAAGTCAGCATCTTCTTTCTGCCCACGACCAGGTAGCGTTTCAACAGTGCCCTTTGCCTTGAATTTGCGAATGATGCTTCCTAAGGTGTCTCTTGGTATGTTTAACATCTTTGCAATCTTCTTATAGCCATTGCCCTTCCTGTGAAGAGAAATCACCTCTTCTCTTGTCTTCTGGACCATTCTCTTGCCTTCACCATGTTTGTAACCACACCAGTAAATGTCTAGAAGGAGCTGAGTATCACAGTCATTTTAAAGCTGCCTAATTGGTGCTTATTATGCTTGATTGCTGCTCGGTGACATCCACAGGTGTTTTCAATACCTGATGGAAAGCACCTGTATGAACCTCTGTTCTTCAGAGTGGTAGTCTTTAAGGGGTTGAATAATTGTGGCAATGAAGAAACCACATAAGAACCATTTACTACTGTATTACATAAACAATTGATGTCATTTTAGTTGCATTTGGGTAGTTACAACGTCCTTGTAGGATTTGATTCTGAATACAATTCCAAATGTACACTATAGTCCCTAAACCCCTTTACAGCATTGGGGGTTGAATAATTTTGGTCACGTAATGTACTGATCAGCATTGATACAAGTCCATCTGCCGCAGTGGAAGATGGGCCTTGTAGTTTTACCATTCACAGATTCTGTAAATGAATGATGCAGCTATTTGGGTTGAGCCCCTCACAGCTGTGCCGATTTTAAATTGTGACAGTGGGCGCAAAGAGAGGATCCCCTACCTGCTGTATAGTAAACATTACCTGAAATAAGGAGAACTTATCCTTTATTCATATCCAGAGTAGGATTACTAGCTTGCAGATATGGAGAGCACATAAAGTTCACCAGGATACTAGAAAAGGACATTTTCAGTTTGTTTCAGTCTGTAGCTGTTGTATTTTCTAAGTTGGGATAAGGACATGCAATGCCAAGTATCTCAAAATTGTACACCAATAACAAATATATTTATCTGAAACATAATTGCTTTGAAGACTTGATATTTGCTAAAACATCTTGCTAGCTTAGTAGGGCACTAAACACAACCCAATTTCACACAACTAAACATAGTACATATTTTAAGACTTAAGCTAAAACTGACATTACTGACAACGTAATAAACCAGCATAATTTTTTTTTTGGGGGGGGGGGGGGGGGGGGGGGGGGGGGGGGGGGGGGGACTTCTGACAGTTGCTGAGTAACACAAATTGTTAGTAGCATGCACAGTAAAAAACTACTGCACAAGTAGAAAACAGTGTTAGAAAAAAATGTATATATTATATATACACACACACACACACACACACTGCCAAAAATATTGGCACCCCTACATTTCTGTCTGATAATGCAGCACTTCACTCAGAAAATTGTTGCATTTACAAATGCTTAGGCATTCTCATGTTTATTTCTTTTGTTTGTATTGATATGACACAGAAAAGTGGAGAAACAAAAAGGCCAAATTTGACACATTCCATGCAAAACCCCAAAAATGTATTGGACAAAATTATTGGCACCCTTAATTTAGTAATTGGTAGCACACCCCTTGGAAAAAATAACTGAAACCAATTGCTTTCTGTAAGCCCTCAGTTTCTTACACCTCTCTACTGGAATTTTGGACCACTCTTCTTTCACCAACTCCACAGGTTCTCTATGGGATTGAGATCTGGACTCATTGCTGGCCAGTTCAGTACTCTCCATCGCTTTGACTGAAACCATTTCTGGGTGCTTTTTGACGTGTGCTTTGGGTCACTGTTCTGCTCTAAGACCCATAACCTCTGACAGGGACCCAACTTTCTGACACTGGGCCCTACATTGCACCCCAGAATTCTTTGGTAATCTTCAGATTTCATAAAGCCATGCGCACACGGTCAAGACATCCAGTGCCTGAAGCAGCAAAGCAACCCAAAAACAATCAGTGAACCTCCACCATGATTGACTGTATTCTTTTCTTTAAAGGCCTTATTGCTTTTTCTGATAACAGTAGAATGATGGGCTTTACCAAAAAACTGTAATTTTGTTTAGTCTGTCCACAGCACATTCTCCCAAAATGATTTTGGCTTCCACAGATAAGTTTTGACGAACTCCAATCTGGCATTTTTATATTTCTGTGACAGCAGTGGGGACCCACCTGGGTCTCCTACCATA